GTTTGTGCAATCAAAGAAGATATATATGGTAGTAGCTCAAATAAAAAAGAGTCAAATTCGCTCTAAGTTTAGGCGTGGACAAAAAAAATAACGTGGCACGTTCTGATTGGTCTTCGGATGCCGTCCAATGTCCACACAGAATAATTTTTCATAGTCTTGGTACCTACACGTAGAGGCCTGTATATTGTCCACACCATATAATTTTTCAAAAAATTGATCAAAAAATAGCTTTGTTCATCACATTTAACGAATCAAATGATCCTTAATCTAACTTACAAAAAAATTGGATAAATGTTACCCTTAAAACAAATGGAACCAGATTTTAGCTTCAAAATGGTATAGTAGCTTTATGATGAGCTTAGAGTACACATAACCTCATTTAGCAATTTATTTTGCATGATTTATGAATAGGGTATTGTTTGTGACGACTTTCGCACTGCTTCATAAAACAGCTTTGTAGAACAAAAATATTTTTTTTTTACTAAAAAGCAGTTTTAAGAAGTAATAAGAAATACTTCTTTTCAGTTCTCTTAATCGAAATGACATGTCGGCAAATGACATGTTAAATGAAATTATAATTCAATCAAATTTTCTATTTAAGCTATTTGCTCTCTACCTTTTCAAGGTGACCACCTATAATTCTCATATGGGCGAGCTTAAGAAAACTGTTGTTTGGCAAGCACAGGAACCCTGAAGACTCGATTGAGGCCTCTGATCCAAAGCTAAGAAATTAGAAGGCCAAATTCAATGTATAAAGTTCCCTTAAATAAAGGCCTAGATAGAGACTTTATATATATGATTGTAAGAGACTCAACTGTGCAACCAAACCACAACTGTACAGGATGAAAAAGGTAAGCATAATAATTTAGAAAAACAGAAATCTGAATGAATCATCGACCACTCTTTTTGTGAAAAGAAATAAAAAAAGGGAAAGAAAAACATGTCTCACATGGTTTCAACATAGCTTAATTTTTAAATAAAAAACATATATAGCATCTTGATCATATCAATTGAATTAGAAATTCAGTAACTAATAATAATCTATTACCTAAAACTTTCACTTTGATGTTGAAATTTCAAAAAGTTCTAACATGTTTTTCAGGCCAAAATAAGCATTGTGAACCTTGTTTTGCCCTTTGCGCATCTCCATTGATGCTTTTATAGTTAAATCATTTTAAATATTTTACAAGAAGATATCTTCATATCAGGTAAAATTTTAATGGTTACTAATGGAACCCTAAATTCTACTTAAAAATATTTATACAAAATATACAAGACTTAATATTTCTCTTTAAAACATTGATTATTGGATATAATACACTTTTAACTACAAAGGAAGGAAAATTTATTTCTAAATAAACTTGTCAACAGAGTGCTCAAATGCGTAACGTAATGGTTGGAAAAAGATTTAGGCTGGGACAACTTTCATACTGCTTCCTAAAACGGATTTCTAGTATAAAATTTTCTAATTCAAGAAATTGTTGTACTACAAATCTATTTTAGAAATCAACAAAAAGTTGTCCCAAACGAAGCCTTAATAATCCTGTGATGGGTTTAGTTCTAGTGCTCATCTAGCCTTTAAAAAAAAAACTAGTCGACCGAGAAAAATATACACACTGCTCTACATACTTGGATTCATTGTCAGTGGAAGCCCAAATTCATTTGTAAAGAAATCTTGTGTTGGAATCTTGCACATGTTCACACACATTCCCACACATCCACTGTTCTCTAAATATCTACAAAAGTGCAATATATTGAAATATTAATGTTAAGAATAAACTGCACTCTCTAAATGAACCTTCATAAAAAATTATTTGGCCTCTCTTTTATTTAGATGAATCAATTAATATTAATCTTCTTGCCATTTTGATTAGTCCATTTAAATAAATAAAATGAATTCCAGTTTCACTTTTTATGTGAATTTATTTGAACATTATTCTATTCACTTCTTACATGAAAATAAAATGTAAATTAAAACTTTTTACCTGCACTTCTTTATATGCACACCACTTCTTT